AAAAAAGCACAGCAGCCACCGCCAGTTGCGATATTGCCGTCCGCCACCCGTTCCCCAAATCGCCGTTCGTCAACAGCTCCCGCATCATCGCCTGCCGCCAGCGTTTGCATCGCCGCCTGCCACCATCTACCACATCGCCGCCTGCCACCATTGACCACATCGCCGCCACCACTAGCCTCCCGGTTCGCCAGCACCCCCATCTGAGGGTCAGCTCACCCCCCCGCCGTTGGGTCATCTCACCCTATTCCCCGAAAAGGCCTAACGCCTAAACACTGGTCCTTCGTCGCCTTGAAAGAGCCAGCACCGTTGGAATTCAGAACCCAAATAAAAAGTATCCCTAAAAAACCGTAAGTAAGAATCTGAATTGCTTACTAACCCCATTTCACCAAAAAACAGCCTAGAAACTAGCCAAATCGCGCATACATTTTGATCCTCTAAAGAAAAATCTTATAAGTTTAATAAAAACGGTGCTCGCATCCCGTTATAGAAAATTTCTTTACACATATACATATGTACATTTCTTTTCCTCGATTCCCGTAATTCTGCGACCGTATTGGTTTTTTAACAAGTTCATTTCTTCGAGTAAATAAATCCCGAAACGGTTCGCATATACCACTGTACATACAAGAACATTTGCATATAGTACATACGTACATATGTACATACATACGCGGTAAATACATACTGTAAGACAGTAAAAATAAAAGCTGTAAAACTAAATTCTCTCCCAATTAAGCGAGCCCCTGTATGATTTAAAACCCATTTGTGCATAATTTACTCACATCAATTTTTATAACATATATCTCCTTTTTAGTTTGCACAACAAAATATTAAAGTGAAACAGGTGCTTCCCCAACAAGCAAAATAAACTTAAAGAAAGTTTTTTTTAAGTTTTCAATTATAAACATTAAGCTTACAAAACGTTGATTTTTTGTTTATAAAACGCTTGGAAGTAAGCGTAATATAATCGAAAAGGAACATTGGTTATAAGCGTAGAAATATAAACTTGTAATAAATGTTCAAAAGAAAGCTTTTTATAAGCGTAAAAGTGTAAACTTATAATAAAGGTTCAAAAAAAGTTTTTTATTAGCGTATCAATATAAACTTACTAAACATTTTCAAAAGAAAGCTTTTTATAAACATTTTTATAACCCTTTATTTAAAGATATTTCATTAAAAACTCATACATAGATTGCTTAACATCTAGAAACTAAACGAAATGCGAATTTTCGGCGGACTCATCTACAGTCGCGAAAATATAAATAGGGAATAGATATTTTGGCATACAAATTCACAATAACACATACAAATTAAGCATAAAAAAGTTAATTATTACATCTTGTTGCGTGCTTTCAATTACTTGCGGTTATTGGCAAATTGGAAAAGCGACATCGATGCAGCTATATATTCCGCTTCATCGCCGCCATTCTCATTGATGAACTTTTCTGAAAAAAATTTAATACATTTTTAATTGAATGTTAAACTAAGAAAGGATAAGGAAACTCATCATTTGAAGACTCGAATGCTCCACCGATTAGCGCAGCGGGTCCTTGATTGGATTTTCTTGTTTTACCGCATTGGTTTTATTTAATTTTTTCTTTTAATAATATATTTAAAAAAACGTAAACACGTCACTTACGATTGAAAAAATTTTATATTTACTACTTCATGTCGTTGACATTTACATTTCATTTATAAGTTTAAGTTATTTATAAACATTCGCTCTCAAAACTTATTAAAGGTTTATTTGAAAAAACTTTTAATAAGCTTAATATTAAAAATGCTTATTTAACGCTTATTATAGCAAACTTAATTTAAGTTATTTTTAAAAACGTTTACTGAAATGCTTGTTGGGTCGTGTATGCAAACATACATATACACATACATTTGTATGTACAATACATAGCTCACGTATAAGCACACATTCATATAATTAAATACAGTGGCACAAACTCGTGTTATGATCTCAATTTATAATCTCACACTGAAATAACGTACAGTGGCTTTCTACTTTACAAAAAAAGAAAGTTCGTCTATGAAATATTTAGAAACGTATGCAACAAAATAAAAGCTGAGAATAAAAATTACTTGCATATTATCCCTATGCTCCATGTTTAAGCAAATCTCCGTGTAAACATACATATATACACAAACATATTGTAAACTATCTCTACTAACACATAATTACATTTTCCCAACAACACATATATACATTTAATACATTATATAATATAAAGTGCTATTAAGATAAATGCTAATTCGGCACACATACACATAGTTATACGGTGCAGTGCGGGTACAGTGAAACGGTCCCCTTATATCCCTCAATAGACCCACAAACAAAAAAAATAAATAAATACAATAAAATAAAACTTCTCCAGCGATTTTATCAGTAGCACGTATCAAAGTGCAAACACCCTTTTTTTATATATCGTGGCATTCGCACTTACGTAATTGCCTTTCATTGCGCTAATTTAGCAAGAATCATCACAAATATATATACATATATATATATATAGCGGAACCCTCCATTTACGTTCGGTCACAAGAACTCGAGTTTAGACCGGCAGTAGATTTTTTTTTGTCTCTTCTCTCTTTGATCTCCGTCTCGTAAATAAAATTTAAAGTCATCTCGTTAATGCTTGCCGCACCTCATAGTGACGCTAAATCGAAAAGTCCAAAAATGAGTGATGATGAGAAGCAACAAGGAACTTCCGCTGAATCTCAACGCGCTACGCGTGCAGGCGGAAGGTCCAATAAGAAACCCAAACAGTCAGTCGTAGCCCCTAAATTTATCTCTGAGACAGACAATTTAATGGATTACTGTACCCGATTCAGTACAACTCAAATCCAAGACAATACTGAGTCTGCACTAAAAATTAAAGACAAGAACATTGATAATTTTTGGAATCGAGTACAGAGCGCATATGATTTAGTAATAGAGACTGAGGAGCAGGACCTTCCCGAGGACTTCAAAGTCTCCGCTTATAATAAATACAGGTCATGCCTCATAACGTATGAAAATACGAAAGCCCAGATTGGTGATCAACTCCTGCTTCTTAATCAAGTCAGCAATACCACGCCTACTCCCAGTATGTCTCAACCCCAGGAAAACTCTAGCTTCGGCCTAAAGGTCCCACCGTGCGATACGGAAACATTTTATGGGGGTTATGAGCAATGGCCGTCTTTTCGTGACATGTTCACGGCGGTATATATTAATCACCCAAAACTCACAAAAGCTCAGAAATTGTACCATCTCCGGTACAAGACTCAAGGCAAAGCCGGCCAAATCGTGAAACAATTCCCACTGAGCGATGATAATTTTGATCTGGCATGGGAAGCCTTACGGTCTCGCTATGAGAATAAAAGAGTATTAGTTGACAACCAAATACGTATTCTCATGAATTTAAAATCTATTCAAGTGGAGAACAGTGAAGATATTCAAAAACTCCAATCATCAGTGAATAACTGTCTCCAAATTCTCGCCACCCAACAAGTCTCCACAGAGAGCTGGGACCCCGTAATAATTTACCTCGTCACCTCAAAACTTCCTGAGAACACAGTAGCTCTGTGGGAGCAATCTCTCAGTTCCAGGAAAGACCTTCCGAACTGGTCCCAAATGAACCAGTTCCTAACCACTCGATATGAGGTGGTCGAAAGGGTTGATCAATGGCGCCCAGCCTAACCAAGACCCAATCCCCAAAATTCCATTTCATTTAGAACCACTCAACCGCACAACAGACCCCCCTTCAAACCTTCTCACTTTCAACAGTCGCATAATAAATCATCGACGCAAGTCCAATCGCATGTGACAGAACATCGTACGATGTATAAATGTTCCATGTGCAAAGATTCCTCGCACTCATTGTGGAACTGCCACAGGTTCCGTAAATTGTCGGTTCAGGATCGCAGAAAATTCGTAAGAGAAAACAACATGTGCTTTAACTGCCTCTCTCAGTCACACTCCCTGAAAGATTGTCCAAGTACTCAAACCTGCTCCAATTGTCGAGAAACACACAACTCAGTGCTGCACTATAGCACAGCCCCTCCGCCAAAAAGGCAAGACTCTCGAGTACAAAGGACCACATCGCAGGTAGCCATGACTGATATGCCAAACCCCAACCTGCAAGCCCCACAAGAAACGGAAGAACAAGATGATTTACCGTCAAGTTCTAATGGAACCAGAGTACAATCGTACTACTCTGAAAATGAGAGCAAAGTCCTTCTCCCTACAGCGATAGTCTCAGTAGAACAGAGAGGAGAACTCTTTAAACTGCGAGCTCTCATCGATCAGGGCTCAGAACGGAGCTTCATTTCTTCTAAGGCCCAAAACAAACTGAGATTACCATGTCAAAGCTCGAACTTTGAAATCTCCGGCATGGGTGGGACAGTAGTTCAGACTTCGAACAAAATCTGTTCTCTTGTCTTAGTCTCCTCCGACTTTGCTACGAAAGTCACCGCTCAAGCAATTGTGCTACCCCAACTAACTAAAATACTCCCAAGATTCCAGCCAACTCGCGAACAACGCGAGAAGTGGTCTCATATTAAGCTAGCAGACCCCAATTGTCATTCCCCGTCTCAAATCGACCTAGTGATAGGCAGCGATCTCATCCCGCAAATCATGCTTGAAGGCATTGAACATATCTCAAAAAATCTGTTAGCACAAAATACCATTTTTGGCTGGATTTTGAGCGGTCAAATCCCTAATCATGTGGTATCTTTCTCCACTCAAGTGGAACAAACCTCTAACAAACTACTGGAATCCCAACTACGAAAGTTCTGGGAGGTAGAAGAAGTTCCGACACCCAACCTCATGAGTCCTGAAGATAAGCTATGCGAGGAGTTATACCAATCCACTACATCGCGCACGCCTGAAGGTCGCTACGTAGTCCGGCTCCCTTTCAAGCCAGGTTTCCCGAAGGAAATATCTCTAGGTCAATCTCGCACCACAGCTCTCCAGCAATTTTTCAGTATGGAGAGAAGTCTTCAGAAAAAAGCCGACCTAAAACCCCTGTATGATAATGTCTTAGGGGAATATCTCACCCTAAATCATATGGAAGAAACAACTTCCTATGAAAAATCCTCAGAAGGAAAATATTATTCCTTCTATCTCCCCCACCACGCGGTGGTCAAACCCGAAAAGAGAACCAGCAAGGTACGTGTCGTATTTAATGCATCACGAAGATCAGGTTCCGGACTCTCTCTTAATGATGTTCTCTATACCGGACCAATACTTCAACCCGATCTGATGCTATTAATCCTCAAATGGCGCACGTATCAGTTTGTGTTCAATGGCGATGTAGAAAAAATGTATCGTCAGATACTTTTACATAAAGACCACCAGAATTACCAGAGAATTATATTTAGATCATCTGCAAGCAGCCCCATTCGAGACTACAGGTTAAAAACCGTGACATTCGGTGTAAATTGTGCACCATTTCTCGCAATACGCACTCTTCACCAACTCTCTGATGATGTAAAAATAACACATCCCTTGGCGGTGCCAATACTAAAAACCGAAACATATGTGGACGACATACTTTCTGGAGGTCATGACCTCATCTCAGCAACTAAATCTCTCTCCCAAGTCATTCAAGCTCTGAAATCCGCTGGCTTTCCCTTAAAAAAGATCACGGCGAACCACCCTGATTTGCTCAAAGACATAAAAAAGGAGGACTTGCTTGAGAGCAACTTTCTCGAATTCGAAAAAGCAAGTATCACCAAAACCCTCGGGATTCAATGGAATGCCATTACTGACTCCTTCTCTTACACCATTGAATCCATATCAGCCTCGTCGGCGAGCACAAAGCGACAGATTCTCTCTTCTGTCGCTAAACTGTTCGACCCCGCAGGATGGCTCTCGCCAATAATGATTCAAGCCAAAGTTCTCTTACAAGAGCTATGGCTCGATGGAACTGACTGGGATGAACAAGTCAAACCCCTCCGCCTCCATAAATGGTTGCAATTCGCCAACAATTTGAAATCTATCTCGGCCATTCAAATACCCCGATGGGTCAATTACGTTCCAGGCCAACAAATGGAGCTACATGGGTTCTGCGACGCTTCGGAAAAAGCGTATTGCTCAGCCATATACGTCCGAGCCACACAAGGTGAACAAGTCTCTTCCCACCTACTGGTGTCAAAAGGCAAAGTTGCGCCCCTCAGAACCATTAGCCTACCTCGACTCGAACTATGTGGGGCTCTCCTTCTAGCTAAATTAGCCTCAGCTGTCCAATCGCACCTCGGTTTTTCAGATCGAAAACTGACAATGTGGTCAGATTCAGAAATAGTCCTGGCCTGGCTGGAAAAACCGCCCCACTCCTGGAAAACCTACGTCTCGAACCGCACCGCGCAAATCATTGATCTGGTAGGAAATTCCACTTGGAGGCATGTGTGCAGCAGCGAAAATCCCGCGGACATGGGAACAAGAGGATGCAAACCCCTCGATTTAGCCTCCTCTTCTCTGTGGTGGCATGGGCCCAACTGGCTAACCCAACCACCCGACACCTGGCCAAAATCCGCTACCCGCTCTATTAACCCACCGGAAGTCCGTCGAGTCGACGCCTTTCACACTGCCGAAGATGATACCGACATTTTAGATCGCTTTTCGTCTTTTTCCCGCATGCTTAAAGTTATGGCATATGTCTTCAAATTTTTAGATCGCTTAAAGAACCGAAATCAAGCCGCCCAGGATCCTCTCCCATTACCCCTATCGCACAATGATTTCCGCTCTACCAAACGTCGTCTCATTGCCTTAACGCAAAACCGTTACTTCCCCCGCGAAATTGCATGCTTATCGCAGTCAGTGCCAATTGCTAAGAAAAGCCCCTTGCTAGTTCTCAACCCCCTTCTAGACAAGTGTGGGTTACTCCGGGTCAATGGTCGGTTGGCCCACTCCACTCTTAGCTATAATGAACGTCATCCCCTCATTATGCCCGAAAAATCTCGATTTGCTGTTCTCTATCTTCGTTTTCTCCACGAGCTCCTCCTACATGCCGAACTTCGGCTCATGCAGCAAATGATAAGACAGGAATTCTACATCCCCCGACTCAAGCCTCTTATAAAAAAGTGCATTTTTCAATGTAAAGCTTGGACCGCTCACAAGCATCAAACGCGCTCTCAAATCATGGCGGCGTTGCCACCAGAGCGTTGCACTTACGCTCCGCCTTTCACCACCACCGGTGTAGATTTTGCTGGGCCTTTTCAAGTAAAAGCCTCCATGCTAAGGTCCTCCACCATTGTGAAAGGCTACGTGGCCGTATTTGTGTGTTTCACAACAAAGGCGGTTCACCTTGAGCTGTGCTCCGATTTGACCACAAACGCATTTCTCGCCGCGTTTGCCCGGTTTGTTGGGCGTCGAGGCTATCCAGCAAGAATGATGAGTGACAATGGCACTACTTTCATTGGAGCCAAAAGAGCAACAGAGAAGGAATTCTGTAGTTTCCTGCAAGAAGTATCTCAAGACATCGTCAAGCAATATTCTCCCCAAGGCATTGATTGGAGATTTATCCCCCCTGGCAGCCCTCACATGGGCGGATTATGGGAATCCGCCGTCAAAAGCTTCAAGTTACATCTCAAACGAACAGCTGGAGCACACAAATTCACGTTTGAAGAATTCGCCACTCTTTTAGTTAGGATCGAAGCGGTATTAAATTCTCGGCCCATCTCCGCTCTCTCCCAAGATCCCACGGAATTCACGGCCCTCACCCCTGGCCATTTCCTAAGGGGAACTGCCCTCTTGTCTCTCCCGGAAGTAGACCATAGCAATTTGTCTCTTCTCAATAGGTGGGAGAGGGTTAAAGTTGTGCACCATCAATTCAGCCGCCGTTGGAAGGAAGATTATCGCAAAGACCTTCAGAAACGTTATAGATGGAAAGACACTAAAGTTTCACCGAAAGCTGGAGAATGCGTCCTCATTATAGATGATACGTTGCCGCCCACTGAGTGGCGTCTTGGACGCATAGAAAGGACCCATCCCGGTCCAGATGGGCATATCCGTGTAGTTGACGTACGCACCAAAACCGGCATTCTCACTCGGTCTATTGTAAAGCTATGCCCGTTGCCATACGCTAATGGTCCTCCAACACCCACAGCAGATAACTAAACCGATTTTCACCGTTCATGTTGATATCTCTCGTCTTGAAGGGCCGCCCTATACCCGCACTGCTTCCATACATTTGTTTCCCACAATGACTTGACAGGCAATCCACCTATAAGCTTATCCCTCTGCCTTAATAACCAGTGTCTAACATCCCACTATTAAGCTATTCGCAAATCCCTATTTGCAGATGGAGATGGACAAGCCTCAGCCGGCACCACGCACTTTTGCTTCGTCGCAGGGGAAGACCGACACACCTAAGCCAGCGCCACGCCCCTCCACTTCGTCGCAGGGGAAGGTTGATACGCCTCAACCGGTGCCACACCGTGCCTTGTCGCCGAGGGTAGTACTGCCGATGGATGGGGTTCCAATCCCGGCACCTACTCAACCTATAACTGGCGAACCATCAGCAACAGACTTTCAGAGATGTCGTCTTTGTGCGCGCTATCATGCGCTCAGAGTATGCCCAGTTTTTCGGGCCATGCACCCACAACAGAGGTTCCTCATCGCGCGAGCTCAGCAGTTCTGCACAAACTGTCTCGCACTCTCCCACGCTACAAGCGCGTGCACATCAAACGGAAATTGTAGAACATGTGGCCAATATCTTCACACGCTCTTACATAGAAATGACTCCAGCACCTCTGGTCGCCGGTTACAGCCGCCTGCACGCTATCCCCCAAGACTTGCTCGGAACATTGGCTCCGCATTTACTGGGCGTCGCCAGCACAAAGCCGTGCCGCAGAACAAGCACCCAATCAAACGCACTACACCAAGAATTCGAAACATAACGCCGAAAGGAAGAGTCACCAAACGGCTGGTGCATGAAGCGATGCGAACCCTGAAGGAGCTGAAAGACGCTCTAGCCGCTTAGCGCGCCTAGGGGGGCAGGATGGCTAAGCGAGGACTGCTTAACCAGTCAGACACCCAAAATTCTGTAAATTCTATAAAGTTAGCATTCCATTGAACTGTATTTGAATTCCTGATCATGTACATATTTGCACTACTATTTGAAATCTACTCATTAGTTGTACTTAGTTATTTGTATGTGTATTAAAATTACATGCTTATTGTACACACGCATTCATACATCATTATATCCATTTATTTGTATAACGTACTTAGCTTAAAATCGCTATTTGAATTATTGAATTATTGCACTTAATATTTTTGAAGTCTAAAACTCCCCTAATGTTTAAACCACTTTAAGTAGCGATATAAGTAGTTGGTAACACTGATGCCGATAAGGCAGGCCCCCTTTGACAGCGCACGAAAGGGAATAAGAAGGAATGACATTTGGTTGTCAGAATCAGAATTTTTTCCACACTCGTGCCGCCCAGCCGCAATTCGTGAATTTTTATAAAAACCCCAATTTGTATCCCGCGCAATCGGTAGTTTTCCTAGTTGCATAAACTCGTAAAAGTTTTGGAATAAATTGTAATTTTAGAGCGAACATCCGTGTTTTATTTCGAAACATCCACCTGCCGCGTCGAAAACCCAAACGCGCCGTCCGATAATCATCGCCCCTCCGGTTTGTGCATCTACAAAAAAAGCACAGCAGCCACCGCCAGTTGCGATATTGCCGTCCGCCACCCGTTCCCCAAATCGCCGTTCGTCAACAGCTCCCGCATCATCGCCTGCCGCCAGCGTTTGCATCGCCGCCTGCCACCATCTACCACATCGCCGCCTGCCACCATTGACCACATCGCCGCCACCACTAGCCTCCCGGTTCGCCAGCACCCCCATCTGAGGGTCAGCTCACCCCCCCGCCGTTGGGTCATCTCACCCTATTCCCCGAAAAGGCCTAACGCCTAAACACTGGTCCTTCGTCGCCTTGAAAGAGCCAGCACCGTTGGAATTCAGAACCCAAATAAAAAGTATCCCTAAAAAACCGTAAGTAAGAATCTGAATTGCTTACTAACCCCATTTCACCAAAAAACAGCCTAGAAACTAGCCAAATCGCGCATACATTTTGATCCTCTAAAGAAAAATCTTATAAGTTTAATAAAAACGGTGCTCGCATCCCGTTATAGAAAATTTCTTTACACATATACATATGTACATTTCTTTTCCTCGATTCCCGTAATTCTGCGACCGTATTGGTTTTTTAACAAGTTCATTTCTTCGAGTAAATAAATCCCGAAACGGTTCGCATATACCACTGTACATACAAGAACATTTGCATATAGTACATACGTACATATGTACATACATACGCGGTAAATACATACTGTAAGACAGTAAAAATAAAAGCTGTAAAACTAAATTCTCTCCCAATTAAGCGAGCCCCTGTATGATTTAAAACCCATTTGTGCATAATTTACTCACATCAATTTTTATAACATATATCTCCTTTTTAGTTTGCACAACAAAATATTAAAGTGAAACAGGTGCTTCCCCAACAAGCAAAATAAACTTAAAGAAAGTTTTTTTTAAGTTTTCAATTATAAACATTAAGCTTACAAAACGTTGATTTTTTGTTTATAAAACGCTTGGAAGTAAGCGTAATATAATCGAAAAGGAACATTGGTTATAAGCGTAGAAATATAAACTTGTAATAAATGTTCAAAAGAAAGCTTTTTATAAGCGTAAAAGTGTAAACTTATAATAAAGGTTCAAAAAAAGTTTTTTATTAGCGTATCAATATAAACTTACTAAACATTTTCAAAAGAAAGCTTTTTATAAACATTTTTATAACCCTTTATTTAAAGATATTTCATTAAAAACTCATACATAGATTGCTTAACATCTAGAAACTAAACGAAATGCGAATTTTCGGCGGACTCATCTACAGTCGCGAAAATATAAATAGGGAATAGATATTTTGGCATACAAATTCACAATAACACATACAAATTAAGCATAAAAAAGTTAATTATTACATCTTGTTGCGTGCTTTCAATTACTTGCGGTTATTGGCAAATTGGAAAAGCGACATCGATGCAGCTATATATTCCGCTTCATCGCCGCCATTCTCATTGATGAACTTTTCTGAAAAAAATTTAATACATTTTTAATTGAATGTTAAACTAAGAAAGGATAAGGAAACTCATCATTTGAAGACTCGAATGCTCCACCGATTAGCGCAGCGGGTCCTTGATTGGATTTTCTTGTTTTACCGCATTGGTTTTATTTAATTTTTTCTTTTAATAATATATTTAAAAAAACGTAAACACGTCACTTACGATTGAAAAAATTTTATATTTACTACTTCATGTCGTTGACATTTACATTTCATTTATAAGTTTAAGTTATTTATAAACATTCGCTCTCAAAACTTATTAAAGGTTTATTTGAAAAAACTTTTAATAAGCTTAATATTAAAAATGCTTATTTAACGCTTATTATAGCAAACTTAATTTAAGTTATTTTTAAAAACGTTTACTGAAATGCTTGTTGGGTCGTGTATGCAAACATACATATACACATACATTTGTATGTACAATACATAGCTCACGTATAAGCACACATTCATATAATTAAATACAGTGGCACAAACTCGTGTTATGATCTCAATTTATAATCTCACACTGAAATAACGTACAGTGGCTTTCTACTTTACAAAAAAAGAAAGTTCGTCTATGAAATATTTAGAAACGTATGCAACAAAATAAAAGCTGAGAATAAAAATTACTTGCATATTATCCCTATGCTCCATGTTTAAGCAAATCTCCGTGTAAACATACATATATACACAAACATATTGTAAACTATCTCTACTAACACATAATTACATTTTCCCAACAACACATATATACATTTAATACATTATATAATATAAAGTGCTATTAAGATAAATGCTAATTCGGCACACATACACATAGTTATACGGTGCAGTGCGGGTACAGTGAAACGGTCCCCTTATATCCCTCAATAGACCCACAAACAAAAAAAATAAATAAATACAATAAAATAAAACTTCTCCAGCGATTTTATCAGTAGCACGTATCAAAGTGCAAACACCCTTTTTTTATATATCGTGGCATTCGCACTTACGTAATTGCCTTTCATTGCGCTAATTTAGCAAGAATCATCACAAATATATATACATATATATATATATAGCGGAACCCTCCATTTACGTTCGGTCACAAGAACTCGAGTTTAGACCGGCAGTAGATTTTTTTTTGTCTCTTCTCTCTTTGATCTCCGTCTCGTAAATAAAATTTAAAGTCATCTCGTTAATGCTTGCCGCACCTCATAGTGACGCTAAATCGAAAAGTCCAAAAATGAGTGATGATGAGAAGCAACAAGGAACTTCCGCTGAATCTCAACGCGCTACGCGTGCAGGCGGAAGGTCCAATAAGAAACCCAAACAGTCAGTCGTAGCCCCTAAATTTATCTCTGAGACAGACAATTTAATGGATTACTGTACCCGATTCAGTACAACTCAAATCCAAGACAATACTGAGTCTGCACTAAAAATTAAAGACAAGAACATTGATAATTTTTGGAATCGAGTACAGAGCGCATATGATTTAGTAATAGAGACTGAGGAGCAGGACCTTCCCGAGGACTTCAAAGTCTCCGCTTATAATAAATACAGGTCATGCCTCATAACGTATGAAAATACGAAAGCCCAGATTGGTGATCAACTCCTGCTTCTTAATCAAGTCAGCAATACCACGCCTACTCCCAGTATGTCTCAACCCCAGGAAAACTCTAGCTTCGGCCTAAAGGTCCCACCGTGCGATACGGAAACATTTTATGGGGGTTATGAGCAATGGCCGTCTTTTCGTGACATGTTCACGGCGGTATATATTAATCACCCAAAACTCACAAAAGCTCAGAAATTGTACCATCTCCGGTACAAGACTCAAGGCAAAGCCGGCCAAATCGTGAAACAATTCCCACTGAGCGATGATAATTTTGATCTGGCATGGGAAGCCTTACGGTCTCGCTATGAGAATAAAAGAGTATTAGTTGACAACCAAATACGTATTCTCATGAATTTAAAATCTATTCAAGTGGAGAACAGTGAAGATATTCAAAAACTCCAATCATCAGTGAATAACTGTCTCCAAATTCTCGCCACCCAACAAGTCTCCACAGAGAGCTGGGACCCCGTAATAATTTACCTCGTCACCTCAAAACTTCCTGAGAACACAGTAGCTCTGTGGGAGCAATCTCTCAGTTCCAGGAAAGACCTTCCGAACTGGTCCCAAATGAACCAGTTCCTAACCACTCGATATGAGGTGGTCGAAAGGGTTGATCAATGGCGCCCAGCCTAACCAAGACCCAATCCCCAAAATTCCATTTCATTTAGAACCACTCAACCGCACAACAGACCCCCCTTCAAACCTTCTCACTTTCAACAGTCGCATAATAAATCATCGACGCAAGTCCAATCGCATGTGACAGAACATCGTACGATGTATAAATGTTCCATGTGCAAAGATTCCTCGCACTCATTGTGGAACTGCCACAGGTTCCGTAAATTGTCGGTTCAGGATCGCAGAAAATTCGTAAGAGAAAACAACATGTGCTTTAACTGCCTCTCTCAGTCACACTCCCTGAAAGATTGTCCAAGTACTCAAACCTGCTCCAATTGTCGAGAAACACACAACTCAGTGCTGCACTATAGCACAGCCCCTCCGCCAAAAAGGCAAGACTCTCGAGTACAAAGGACCACATCGCAGGTAGCCATGACTGATATGCCAAACCCCAACCTGCAAGCCCCACAAGAAACGGAAGAACAAGATGATTTACCGTCAAGTTCTAATGGAACCAGAGTACAATCGTACTACTCTGAAAATGAGAGCAAAGTCCTTCTCCCTACAGCGATAGTCTCAGTAGAACAGAGAGGAGAACTCTTTAAACTGCGAGCTCTCATCGATCAGGGCTCAGAACGGAGCTTCATTTCTTCTAAGGCCCAAAACAAACTGAGATTACCATGTCAAAGCTCGAACTTTGAAATCTCCGGCATGGGTGGGACAGTAGTTCAGACTTCGAACAAAATCTGTTCTCTTGTCTTAGTCTCCTCCGACTTTGCTACGAAAGTCACCGCTCAAGCAATTGTGCTACCCCAACTAACTAAAATACTCCCAAGATTCCAGCCAACTCGCGAACAACGCGAGAAGTGGTCTCATATTAAGCTAGCAGACCCCAATTGTCATTCCCCGTCTCAAATCGACCTAGTGATAGGCAGCGATCTCATCCCGCAAATCATGCTTGAAGGCATTGAACATATCTCAAAAAATCTGTTAGCACAAAATACCATTTTTGGCTGGATTTTGAGCGGTCAAATCCCTAATCATGTGGTATCTTTCTCCACTCAAGTGGAACAAACCTCTAACAAACTACTGGAATCCCAACTACGAAAGTTCTGGGAGGTAGAAGAAGTTCCGACACCCAACCTCATGAGTCCTGAAGATAAGCTATGCGAGGAGTTATACCAATCCACTACATCGCGCACGCCTGAAGGTCGCTACGTAGTCCGGCTCCCTTTCAAGC